ATCTTGCGCTGCTACTGCTTGATCTGAACGTTTACATCGCGTTACGTCGTAGTAGCAATATTTATACTGCACCGAATAATGAATTTGTTAAGGATTGACAATGATAAATGACACACATCTGTTTTGCCATCCGTGTAGCCTACTATTAATTATGTTCCTTTATAACAAAAATAATTATTTTACAAAACATGGATATATTCCGCATTTTTCTAAGTACGTGTCGCTGATAAGAGATTGTTATCATGTATGCAGGCGAACGTCCGACGAGCATATTCAATTCGGGTATAACAGAAAAAAACATGATAATTAAAAACTCTACGTATTATATCTATATGTACGTAGCAATGTGACCATCGTCGTGACTATGAGGGATACGTGTCATAATCGGCGAATTATATTTTGGCCTCTGCTTATCGCTATGCAATCGCCTCATAACTTTGATGAGTGGAACGAACGCCACATCGGTGCGGACAACTTCGATGCGCTTCGTAGCGCTTCGCAATATGTGAGATGACCAACTCAAAAATCAAGAGTTTCAAGTTCAAGTTTTACCAGATATAAAATAATTTTCCAGATACAATTCAAATTGTGCATTGTGATCAAATAGAGCAGATTTTCGGGAACAGAAAATATTGACCCATTCATCTCTTAAGAAGAATACTCTTGAGAATTTCTTAAGAATAAAAAAAATAACAAGTACTCGTATATAGAAAATCTAATTAATAAAAACTATCTAGAAGTTAGATATCCTTGATATAGAATTCCGAATTTATAAATAACTATCTAGAGATATATATATTTAACAGAGAAAAAAAATGGTATTAAAAAGATAAATGTTTTATTTTATTTTTTATTTGATATTTATTTGCACTCGCTGTGTCCAGTAGACTACTACTAATTTCAATTTTTATCTCTACCTTTAAATAATTTTTTTATATAGCTACTAGATGAAGTGAGCGTTACATTACCGATAACAATTGACTAAAAAACTAGACAACAGCTATGTGTCTTTTCTATTCCATAATTAAACAGACATAAGATTCAATTTATCCCAAAATATTTTGTGCCTGGGTTAAAAACTGTGCTGACAATGATGCTGCTGTTGTTGTTGTTGTGGTTCGTCTACGGTTCCTACCACAAGGATGGGATTCCTTCGCACAGAGTACAACTTTGTTATTTTTCAGAAATTTATCAATAAACGATTATATTTAAATTAAAACTTACAGATCCCTGGAACATTGCACACACTACTATCATCAAGACCAAGAACACCACTGATATTCTCATATTGCAATCTTATGCTGCTACTGGTTGCACTGTAAATGTTACATAGCGTCACGTCATAGCAATATTTATACTGCCCTGGTGATTAACGATCTATTTGTTAAGGATTGACAATGAATAATACACGCCTTTTTTTGTCATTTGTGTAGCCTATTGTCAATTATGTTCCTTTATTACAAAAATAATTATTTTACAAAACATGGGTATGTCCCGCGGTCTTTCAGGCATACGTTGTTGATAAGAGATTGTTATCATGCATGCGGAAATAACGTCCGACAAACATATTCAAATAAATTCCGGTGTTAATCGAAAAAACATGATAATCAAAACTCTACGTACTATACGTATGTAGCAACGCAATAATAATCGTCGTGCGTGACTGTGAAGAATATGTGCCATAATCGACAAATTAGAGGCACACAAAAGCTTAAGCAGTAAGATGTAAGCAGTATAAGCGAATTAACCAATCATTTTAGAGACCGTTAAATTATAACGGAAGCATCAGTAGCCCATTCGACATGTTGATTTCCTTACTGCTTATGTTTTACTGCTTAAGGTGTTTGTGTGCCATATGGCCCTTATACTGTCGGCTCTGCTTTTCGCGATACAATAGCCGCGATGACTTTGTGTGAAACGAAGTTGCAGCGCGGACAACTTCGATGCGCGAAAACAAAACAAATGGCGCGACGGCAAGGGCGACTTCAATGCGTAGAACGAACGGCGCACGCGGGCGTAGGTAACCTGAATGCGTGAACAAAGTGACATAGACGGTTTCTGTAAATCGCATCATAGACAGAAGAAAACGATAATTTCAACCAAATTTTTAAACGTTCGTTAAAAATTTCAAATGGAAAACGCGCTATATAAAAGATGTCTGTCTATGATTTTTTGAAAAAGTATTTTTTTTTTAAATTGCATTATGGAAACTTGTGATATGATTTAATTAAGATCCGATTTTAATCTGAGAGATTATTTGCTTTGAAGCAATAGAGTAACTTTCTTCGAAAAATTTCATAATAAAATGTTTTTATGTTATTTTAGATGTTAGAAATAAAACAATACATCTACTTACATAATCCGTTTTCTCGTTTGTATTCTCTATCGCAAATATAATTTTAAGTATAACAATTTTAAAGTAACATAATGGATAATTATATCCTAATTAATATTATATAGGAGATTGCATATATAATCTTGATGCATAAATACAACATTAAATCATGATTTGTAAAAGCAGCGCGCATTTTCTCATCGCTACGGTGCAACTAGTTTAACGTTATATCACAGCTTGCGTCAGATCCGTCTACTACCAGCGATTGACAATGAGATACTATCTTTAAAATGAATGCTATTTGCATGTAAATTGAATCGACTGTTGACTCGGTCTTTAAACAACCGCGGAAAAGCTTCATTAGATGAGTATGAGAGTGCGTGTATTTCTATTGATTGTGGGACACACATTGAATCCTATTTGACATAGAAATTACACAAGAGACGAATTATGCAAGACACAGTAGACAAAATCTAGTTCTCTTGAACTAACAACATGCGTTTTTATATCAATTATTTAATCTAGAGAAACGTTCTATTTATTCATCATAAAAACGTTCTATTTATTCCTCATAAAAAATAATTAACATCCTCTTAACACAAAGTGATTCCCACGTTCTCAAACGTTTTCAAAGAAACAAAATATGCTCTCAATTTTAGCCAAAGTACAATAGAATAATCGTAGATACGCTAATATTGTGTTTTACTTTTTTTACAAATGCAGAAAATAGCTCTAAACAAAACGTCATATAGAAATAGCAAAATATGTTTTAGCATCGTTGCATTTAAATTTCTTTTAGTTTCTTTATAAAAAACGTCTGACGATTAAAAACAGTTCGTCAGAAATTAAAAAATAGATAGCAATGGTGTAATTAAGATTATAAAAAATTGCACGCAGCTAAATTACAAAAATTGTACAAACAGTTAGCAATTATGACAAAACATGCGTCAAAAAGACAACAGATTTTATTGTCAATTCCAACATTTGCGTACTATCAATTAATAATATGTGACCAAAAAAATGTGTAACACGTACATTAATGTGATTTAAATTTTTTATTTATATTACATGTAGATATGAATGAGTCGATTTGATTCAAGAGCTAATACAAGATTAGATACGTTTTCTGACTTGTTACTAATTGCTAATATTCATAATCAATTTTTGTGATGTAATTGCTATCTAATCACTACATAACAAAATGGTAACAAAAAGCGCTGGTGTATATAAAATATATAATCTAGCTACACAGTCACTAGCAATTTTAAATTGGTCAATGGATCCAAATTGTCATTTTATTTTATAAAAAAGTCTACCTAGTACAATTGACTAATATACTAAAATGTAAGTTTTACATTTTAATTATTAGACAGTCACTACACAGACTTTTTTATTATGAAAGAATCTGATCAAAAACAGTAAATAACAAACGGTAAATTGTTGGTAATGTGACATATTTGAATTCTTCACTTTTATAAAAATTGTTAACTTAATAACCTTATTTAGAGCCTTCTTCATCAATCTCTAGTTAAGCTAATCAAACGGTTAACTCGCAGTAGCGCAAATAGTTATGTTCGAAAAAAGGAAGAGAGAGGAAAAGACGTGATACATTGAACTGTTTTTAACACTCTCTACTGTGAATTAACCGTCGGTTATTATTGTAAAGATAATAAAAAAAGAAAAAAACACGTGAATGATAAACATCGGCGCATTTAATTTGCTTTAGCAAATATTGTTTTGTATTCTCATTTTCTAGATAGATATTATAATATTTAATAGTAACTTTTATTAATACATAAATTATAACTACTATAACACAAAATTAACTTTTTACTTTCTTAATTCTTGTTATTATATTTACTTCATATAACATAAAACGGGACTATTCTGTTAGCTTCAACTTTAAAGTATCTAAAATATCTAGCTACTATATACCCATTGGGTATATATACCCATATATTGCACCATTTCATTACACAGATAATTATTTATATTACAAAAAGATTATCTAAAAAGTATTTCAGAGCTAGTTAAAGCATATTGTGTAGGTTGTAGGTACTGATTAAGTAGATATTATTTTTAATAAATATATTATTTAAAAAGCTTATTAAAGCGAAAAAAAGAGAAATTTTATAGTTTGTGATAATATAAATAGTAAAAATAAATGTAGCTTTTTTTATTAAAATTTTAATTAAACAATAAGAGTATGAAAAAATATAATTTATAAAATTGTGCTTTCTTTTGTATAATTAAATAGTATTTTTAGAAAATATTATATAACCGTGCTACGTATCTCTTAATAATGTAGCAGTGGCGGTCCGTGAGATGACCAATTAAAAAGTCAAAAGTTTCAAGTCAGGTTCAAGTCCTACTAGATGTAAAAGAATTTTCCAGATACAATTTAAATTTTTGCGTATTGTGATTAAATAGTGCACAAGATTTTTAGGAATAGAAAATATCCATTCATCTCTTAAGAAGAATACAATAAGAAAAGGTAATAAGAATAATAATAAGTGCATAGAAATTCTAATTAGTAAAAACTATCTAGACTCTAGAGGTTCTAGAGACTCTAGATACTCCTGATACAGAATCCTCAATTATAAAACTGTCTTGGGATTAGATGGAGAAAAAAAATGACAATAAAGAAGATAAATGTTTTATTTTATTTTTATTTGCTATTTAGCCGCTGTCTGGTCTAGGATAGACTACTTACTAATTAATCTTTTATTCCTAGCTTTAACTAATTTTTTGTATAGATACTAGGAGAAGTGAGAAGCGTTACATTACCGATTAACAACTGACCAAAAATTAGACAACAGTTCTGTAACATACAACTTTTCTATTTCATGACTAGATAGGCATAAGGTTCAATTTATCACTGGTTATTACGCCGCTATGTAATGGCATCGACTAACTATGATGGCAACGTTCTAGGTGATGATGTTGTTGTTGTTGTTGGTTATTCTTATTGTTGTTGTTCTTCTTCGGCTATCTCTGCGAATATAGCGAAAAAGGGATTCCTTCACAAAGAGTAGAACTTCGTTACTTTTCAGAAATTTATTGATAAACGATCATGTTTAAATTAAGACTTACAGATTCCTGGGACATTGCACATACTACTATCATCAAGACCAAGAAAACCACTGATAGTTTCATATTGCAATCTTGCGCTGCTACCGCTTGCACTGTAAATGTTTATGTTATGTCACGCCGTAGCAATATTTATACCGGCGAATAACGATCTATTTGGTAAAAATTATCAATAAACAATAGTACACACCTGTTTTGCCATTTGTGTAGCCTATTGTCAATTATGTTTCTTTATAACAAAGATAATTATTTTACAAAACATAGGTATGTTTCTCATTCTTCCAAGCATGTGTTGCTGATAAGAGATTGTTATCATGTATGCAAACGAAAGTGACGTCTGACAAGCATATTCAAACGAATTCCGGTGTAATAGAAAAAACAACATGACATTCAAAACTCTAAAAAGAGACGAACAGAGACTAGTCAACAACATTCAACAGAATTGAGTGCCCTGTTTACGCCGTTTTGATTGTGGTGAAGTGGGGGTAAAAAGCCAGTTTTCCTTCACTTCATGAAATTGCACCTTAATAGAAAAAAACATGATAATCGAAACTCTATATACCATATAGGAACATGATAGTCGTACGTGACTGTGAAGGACATGTACGGCATAATCGACGAATTAGAGCTATGGCACACAAAAAAACTTAAGCAGTAAAATATAAGTAGTAACCGAATTAGCCAATTATTTTCGGGACCTATCCAATATGTTGATTTCCTTATTGCTTACGTTTTACTGCTTAAGGTTTTTTGTGTGATATGGCCCTTAAGCGTCGTCTACAATGAACAGTAGCAGTAGTGGATTAAGGAGTGGACGTAGAAATCAATCATGGTCGATTATGAGGAGAATAATCAACTACGATTGATCGATTTTTATGCCTACTCAATTCATTGCTACTTCCCATTGTAGGCTACGCATTAAAGCCTATGATACAAAAACGTAAAGCAATAAACACGTAAGCAGTAAGCAAATTGGCCAACCACAGTAGAAACCGTAATGCGTGATCTACATTAGGCAGTAACAGTAGAGACTTTTAGTCTAAGAGATTATTTGCTTTGAAGCAATAGTGTAATTTTCTTCGAACAAAATTTCATAATAAAATGTTTTTATCTTTTATTTTGGATGTTAAAAACGAAATAATACATATATATTTACATAATATGATCTCGTTTCCTCATTTGTATTCTCTCCATCGCAAATATATTTTTAAATACCCTAATATATTAGATCTACAAATAAGTTCTGATTTCTTCGAATTAATCAACTGTAACTTTACTATAAATTCAAATCTTTTTCCCGCTGCTTTGAGGATTTCCAGTACCAACCTTTATGATAAAAAAAAACTACATATGGGAACCTTGCAAGACAACATCCCAGTGAGAAATGACAATAAACTCGATGTCGAATCGACGTCGGTTTAATGATTTTGACGTCGAATCAACATCGATTCGATATCGATTCCATTATCATTTCTTATTAGGATAATCTTACAAACCTTAAAAGTGAGCACGATGTGATTTAAGCAGAAGGATGTCGTCTGAAAACCACGTGAGGCATTGTATTCCGTTCGATTTTCATTAAAAAAAAAAGTGTTCTCAAAGCGGAAAAAATTATTTGTTCCGCTTTAGGAGAAAATGCGGTGTCTGAAAGTACGTGCAAAAGGTAGTACAAAAAATTTCGAATGGGTAATTTCGATCTTTCCGATCAATATCGTTCGGGAACATCAAAAAAAGTTGAAAACGAGAAATTGAATCAGCTGTTGCAAGAAAATCCTTGTCAAACACGAAAGGAGCTTGCTGAACAACTGGGTGTCACTCAACAAGCGATTTCCCATCGATTGCAGAAGCTGGGAAGAATACAGAAGGCTGGTCGTTGAGTCTCACATGTGTTCGGCTCAGAAAACAAAGCGAGACTATAACAGTAGTTTGCCTGTTGTTGCCAAGATTTAAGCAGAAGGATTTTCTGTTTAAAATCGTAACTGATAATGAGAAGTGGATCCTATATTAGAACCCTAAAAGAAAAAAACCATGGGTTTATCCCGGAGAACTGTTAACATCAATTGCAAAACCGAATATTCACTCGAAAAAAGTATTGTTATGCATTTGGTGGGATATGAAAGGTGTACTATATTTTGAGTTGCTAAAACCTGGCGAAACTGTAAAGTCTGAGCGTTATCAACAAAAATTGATGCGTTTGACAAAATCGAATGAAAACGACTCTATACCAACCAAGGAACTCGTCAGGTGATACTGCTGCATGATAACGCACGAGCCATTCGGCGATAGCAACCAAAGAATTAATCTATATTTTGGGCTGGGAAATTCTCCATCATGCGGCTAATTCTCCAGATATGGGTCCTACAGATTTCCTCATTCGTTTTCTACAGCACTATTTCGTTGATACGCACTTTCAAACACCCGAAGAGATCGAAAATTCCATAATCCAATTTAATGAATCAAAACCACCATCGTTCTTCCGAGCAGATTCGCCAGCTGCTCGAGAGATGACAAAAGTGTGCGAAAATGATAGAGATTATTTTCAAGACTGACATGTGCTTCGGTTTTTTATAAATAAATATCAATTTTCTATAAAAAAGGATCAGAACTTATTTGTAGACCTAATATATTAATTTTAAAATAATATAATGAATATAATTATATCCTAGTGCACAAGATTTTTAAGAATAGAAAATATTCATTCATCTTTTAAGAAGAATATAATAAAAATAGGTAATAATTAAGTGTATAGAAATCTAATTAATAAAAACTATCTAAAGGTTAGATACACCTGATACAGAATCCTCAATTATAAAACTGTCTTGGGATTAGAAGGTGAAGAAAAATGACAATAAAGAAGATAAATGTTTTATTGTATTTTTTTAAATTTTTTATTTGCTATTTAGTCGCTGTGTCCGGTCTAGGAGAGACTACTTACTAATTAATTTTTTATTCCTAGCTTTAGCTAATTTTTTTGTGTAGCTACTAGGAGAAATGAGGAGAAGCGTTACATTACCGATTAACAACTGATTAAAAAACTAGACAACACAGTTATGTAAGACACAACTTTTCTATTTCATGACTAGATAGGCATAAGGTTCAATTTATCCACCGGTCTGTGCCGTTGTTGCTTCTGTTGCGCTGATTGTGGTTTCTCCACAATGTCCATGATGTCCATGATGTCCATGACGTCCATGACGTCTATGACTTTCTTTATGATGAGGCACGGATTCCTTCACACAGAATAGTACTTCGTTATTTTTCAGAAATTTATCAATAAACCATCATATTTAAAAAAATTAAGACTTACAGATCCCTGGAACATTGCACACACTACTATCATCAAGACCAAGAACACCACTGATAGTTTCATATTGCAATCTTGCGCTGCTACTACTTGCACTGTAAATATTTACGTCGCGTCACGTCGTAGCAATATTTATACCGGCGAATAACGATCTATTTGGTAAAAATTAACAATGAATAATGGTACACACCTGTTTTGCCATTGTCAATTATGTTCTTTTATAACAAGGATAATTATTTTACAAGACATGAATATGTTCCATATTCTTTCAGGCACGTATCGCTAATAAGAATTGTTATCATGCATGCAGGCGGAAATTCCGACGTTACAGAAAAAAAACATGACATTCCAAACTCTAAAAAAAGACAAACAGAAACAGCATTCGACAGTATCGAGTGCCGCTGCACACTTGCACCATCGATAGCGTCTCTTCTCCGAACTGTGCACGTAGTTTACGCAAATTTTGATTTGCAAGAAACTTTATCAACGCATGAACACCACGTTGTACGGTACTATTTGTTCGGATATATCAACGACGAGTACAGAAACTGTCGCGAGTCCACAACTATGTAGTGCGTAAATAGCCCGCCCTCCTCCTTTAGTGTAAGTACATCTAGCATTGTTGATTTGTATTTACAAAAAAGTCTTCATGTATGATCCATGTATTTGTTTCTCTCTTAAGATATAATTACTGAACTCTAAAGAGTAAAAGGAAGGATGCAGCTTTTGCATATCCGGATACTACGCCATTGGTCTGCTACTTTTCCTTGGGGATCTGAGACCAAATACAGATAATTATCATTCCGCACGCGGTTTGATTAACTGATCGCATTAGCGTTCGGCGGAAGGACTATGCCGATGATTAATTCGGACAGAGAACGTCGATATCGACGTGCATGCTCGTGCACTCGTTCCTCATAATGCGTTTCTCCCGTTCTCGTCTTGTTTTCACTGGCCGGTGATATGCGGTCGCGTAACCGATGGTCGACTTCGCGGACCATTAGGCGTTTCCTCCATGTTACATCGGTGATGATGAGAATGCACGAGCGAGAGATCGAGCTCGGATATCTTTCTGCTCCTTTTCCAAAGTGCGATTAAACTACAACGTGTGTCTATCGCGAGATGATGATCGCATCAAGAAACCTGTTAATTACTTCATCAGAGATAATAAGTGTGAATCTTTTTCTGACAGTGTTTAACTAACTTCGGCTGATAATTTGCTGTCTCTCAACTCTCTTATTGTTAGATTACGGTTACGTAATATTATCGTCGATATACAGAAACAGAAGAAAAATTTAAATTTAATTAACTAAAATTTGTATTTATATAGTTAAACGCGTAGTTAACGCTAATCGACTTCAACGCAACAGTTTTACGTAGCCACAAAATCGCTGCTCATTGCAGAGTCAGTTCCGCCGGTGTAATCTAAACAATCACGCGAAGACAGAATAGTCCCATAAGCGAACGCGAGCTAACTTTAATTGTCGCTCATTCAAGTATGATTGAGTGCATGTTTTCTCAAACGTTAGTTCTCGTGTTGTGTCTATCGCTAAAAGGAAGAACGACTCATCAGGGCCACTGTACTCAGCCGTATTATCCCGGCGGCTTCTTCATATTCTACTCGCCGCAAATATCGGGCCGACTGACGACTACGTTGCGACGTGGATAAACGGTTACATGTAAAGCTTGTGTTCGACCGTCTTCCGGGTCTGCCGTGGAGGAAGTTCGTCGACGATTTAAGCGTAGGACGCCTTGAACTTTTGTCCGGCAGTCGATAATCGCTAAA